GCACGAGTGTGTGCACGAGTGTGTGCATCTGCGTTGCATGCTCACACAAGCTCAGGCCAGAAATCACTCGTGGTTAGGCCCCAACCCAGGAAATACTCAGAAGCTCACACCTATCACCCACCAGACAGCTCAGAGCTGTGCCTCAGGAAGGCAGAGGTCAGGTTTGTGGTTGCCCTGGAGCAGGAGAGGGAGGGAAGGAGCCTCAGGAACCTCCTCACTCGATTCCCTGAGGCAAGGACAGTATAAGATTTATGCTCATAGGATGACCTCCCCCCTCTCCCCCGCAGCCCTGGTGTCCAGGCATGAAGCTCCCGCTGCTGGCCAGCTCAGGGTACCTGTCTCTGTTCTCTGCCTACTGTCTCTCTCACCTGTTCTCTTTCCTCCTCCACTTTTGCACTGACCACTACTGGGCTCGCCATAGCTATGTCCCGCACATCCCTCACCCAGGTTGCAGGCTTCTCCTCTCCAGAGAAAACTGACCACAGAAGCAGAAGCTGAGCTCTCTGCCTCCGGGGAGCCCCAGCCTTTCCCTCCCTGGATGGAAAAGGGATTAAGAGCAGCCTGTGTGGGAGATAAGACCACTCCCTCCGTTCCAGGCTTAGCCAGGCTGGGGCAAGCACCCTGCCTTCCCGGGGACCACTTTGTTTTCCACACATCATGGCTGCTTTTCATCTGGAGCTGACCTGAGCTCAGCTCTGTGGAGTCTCTTATTGGGGGTGCCTTTCCCAGTTGGGCTCCCCCAATCTCGGCCCATGTGCCCCTTAGGAACTCATCCCGATCACCCCTGAGGCAGGGACAGAAGATTCACGCTCATAGAATGAACCCCCCCTGCCCCCCACCTCCCTAGCGCTGGTATCCTGTGGAGAGGTGCCCAGCTAGAGGCCAGTGGGCTGCCTTACCCTCCTGACAGGGGCCGGGGCTCCTCCCTGAGGCAGGACCACACAGAGCACAGCCTGCCCTCTGCAGAGGACGCAGTAGCAAGGTTGCCAGCCCCCGCCTGAGACCTGGTGCCCCTCGGTGTGTAGCTCCTGGGGATGCAGCACTCAGGCCAGGTTGTAGGGGAGGGTCAGCAGCAGCAGCAGGAGGAGCCCGGGGCCTGGGCACGCCACTGGCCAGGGTCCCACTCTGGGGGCGAACAGCTCTTGCTGGGCCAGGGGTCCTGTGGGGCTGCAGGTCTGGTGTGGGTAGGGTGCAGTGGGATGTGGGCACTGCAGTCTGGCTGAAGAGGCCGTCGGTCCTGCAGGTTTTCCAGCAGGTTGACTTCAACAGGAAGCCGGGACGGATGAGTTCCAAGCCCATCAACTTCACTGTGATCCTGAAGTTGTCCAAGGTCAACCTGCAGGAGAAGGCTTACCGGGTGAGGCTGGCCTCCACGGAGGGGATAGGGAGGGAGTGCCCCAGGTGGGGCCACTGCAGGATGTCAGAGGACGCAGGTCAGCATCCTGAGTGACCATGGAGGCAAGAGGAGTGTGGACAGGGAGGGCTCGCTGCCCTGTGGAGGTTATGCATGGACTCTCGTAGGCTCCCAGGGTCAGGGAGCAGACACCTATGAGCCCGGCCCCATGAACCCGAGTGAAGCTGTGGTCCCACCTCTTCCTGCCTTGAAGGAGCTGGCACTCAGCCTGTGAGGGAGGTGCCTGAGCTCTTCTCCCGTTGATCCTCAGGATGGGCTGGTGGAGCAGCTGTATGACCTCACCCTGGAGTACCTGCACAGCCAGGCCCATAGCATTGCCTTCCCCGAACTTGCGTTGCCCGCCATCCTGCAGGTGAGTGCCCTGCCCAGACCTCTCTGTGACCTGCTGTGAGGCTGACTAGACTGTTTTAATGGCCTCAGCTCCCTGTATACATAGGGGCGGAAGAAGGCAGTGTTCTGGGCGTCAGCCACAGAGCCAGTGGTGGGACGCTGGCCTGGGTGATACCAGGATCCCAGGCCTGCCACAGCCCAGGGACAGATGGCCCGAGTCTTTCCTGGGACTGAGTGGGCTGGTCTGACTGCATGCCTCCCCCGTGGTCCTGAGTACGGTGTGAAAGTAGGGCTGCCTCAGCTTCCCTCAGGCAGTAGGGGGCAGGGGTGCGTCCACCCTCCCGGAAGCCCCTGGTGGCTCTCTTTGGAGTCCTCTGCTTTTTAGCCTAGATGTTCCCGTTTCAGGGAGGCACAGGCCTCCCGGGAGCGGTGCTGCCTGTCTGCACAGCCCTGGGGCGGGGCTGCCTCCACCCAGTGCATTGGCTCAGAGGCCCAGCAGGACATGGGTTTGGGTGGGCAAGGCTCTGTTTCTGGGCTTGAAGCTCCACAGGTTAGCACTTTTTTTTTTTTGTAAAGAGCCAGGCTTTGTGATTTTCACAACAGCTTGATTCTGCTGTCGAAGGAAAAAACCCACAAGTGGCCAAAATTGGTTTGGCTCAGTGGATGGAGTGTCGGCCTGCGGACTGAGGGGTCCCGGATTTGATTCCGGTCAAGGGCATGTACCTTGGTTGCGGGCACATCCCTGGTAGGGGGTGTGCAGGAGGTAGCTGCTCAATGTTTATCATCAATATTTCTAACTCTCTACCCCTCTCTCTTCCTCTCTGTAAAGAATAAAATGTATTCAAACAAAAACCCCACAAGTGTGTAAATGAATGAGTGGCTGTGCCAGAACAGCTTCATGTACGGGGATCCGAGGGGCCAGGCCTTGGTTCTCAGATGGCTCCACCCGTTTGGGCACATGTGGGGGATGGGCCCCTGGATGTGTGCAGAGCAGCCCTGGGTGGAGCTGGCTGAGCCCCTCTTCCTTCTGCAGCTGAAGTCCTTCCTCCGAGAATGCAAGGTGGCCAACTACTGCCGGCAGGTGCGCCAGCTGCTGGAGAAGGTGCAGGAGAATGCAGACCACATCTGCAGCCTCCGCCAGAGAGCCGCCTTCGGCGTGGCCAACCGGCAGGCCGTGGTCAGTGGGGAGGACACCAAGTATGGCTGGGGCTTGGGGTTTTGCCCAGGATGGGACATGACCCAAACCTTGTCGCACAGGATGACTGGGAGAAGCAGATCCGAGAGGAGGGGACTCCGCTCACCAAGTACTACAGCCACTGGCGGAAACTGAGGGACCGAGAGATCCAGCTGGAAATCAGCGGCAAAGAGCGGGTATGGGCTGAGAGGTGTCGGAGCCTGGGCCTGCCTGGCTGGCTTGTTCTGAGATGAGGACCTAGCACCCTGGCTATGACTTTAAGACGGGATGGGAGTGGAGCCTGTTGGGAACAACGTCTGCAAGGGCTGGGGCTGCCCTGAAGGATGCACTTAAAGGCCAGTGGGTGGCTGGGTCCTCCTCCCTCACCTGGCAGGTAGTGGTCCAGGAATCCTAGGGATGCTCACTAGGTTTGGGAGGAAAGGTGGCCCAGCAGGTATTTGTGTGGAGGAAGAAAACAGGACACCGGGTCTAGGTGTGGAGTCGGAACGAGGGTGCTTGCTGGTAGCACGGCTGTGGCCGTGTGACCGGGCTGGCACTCAGGGTTCCTGCACACCCTCACCTTCTCTTGTTTTGGGTCTTGCAGCTGGAAGATCTGAACTTACCTGAAATAAAGCGGCGGAAGCTGGGAGACAGAAAGGATGAGGACAGGGTGGAATTTAAGGACCTCTTTGACCTGGACAGTGATGAGGATGATGCTGTGGACTTCTCAGAGAGAGGTGGGCCTGCATGGCTTGGCTTGAGCTCTGAGGGGTTGGGCAAGCAGGCCCGGAGGAGCAGCACCTACTCCCCCCTCTGCTCCTGTTTGCTGGGGCCACTCCGTCCCTCCCCACCACTTTGCTTTCTTTGAGGTGGGTCTCCTGGAATTGGAACATGTGTTCTTAGGCCTTGTCCCTCTCCCCACTACTCTCTAGGGCAGTTCTGAATGTTTTCCACCTGCACAAAGGAGGCCCAAGGCGAGGGGGATGCTGGGCTGTGAGTCCAGCTACCCTCCCCTTGTGCCTCTGCTTGTGGACCCTTCCCATGGGCTCTTTCCCTTGGTCCTCAGTTACACGTAGGTCTCCTGGAGCTCAGCAGGGGATAGAGGAGGAAGACCAGGATGAAGACGATGAAGACAAGGACGGCAGCAGTAGCAGTCAAGAAGTTAGCAACTCAGAGGGTGAGTGCTTCCTGGGGTCAGGGTGCTGTGCCCTTTGAGCCCATGTGCCCAAGGCTCCTCCCTGGGGATATAGGGCCAGTTGCTCTGTTCCTGCTGACCCTGGCAGCCAGCAGCAGTGGCACATATAAATTACTTAGTGCTGTGATTAATTAGTGATGAGTAACCCCCAAGTTGGCTCCTTTCTGATAAAGCAGAATTTATGTAGCCTCCGTGTCTCCCTGCAGATGGAGGCTCAGATGCAGAGGCAGGGCTGGCCCCCCGGGAGCTGTGGCAGCTGCTGGCCCAGGGGCCGGAGGATGAACTGGAAGACCTACAGCTCTCGGAGGAGGACTGAGGGCTGCTGCCCTGGCTGCCTGCAGTCCCCCATCTCACCAGCAGTTTGGCCTATGGATGAGGCCTTGGGCCAGTGCTCATACCCCAGGAAGGACAGTAGAAGGCGGACAGGGCTTTATTTTTACAACATAAAAGACCAGGAAGTACCAAGCACTGTGCTGATCACTGGAGTGGCAGCTTGGTGACCGACACCTGCATTGTGGAGCATGCCCACTGCTGCACCTGAGGGCGCTGGGCACCCCTGAGGGAAGCTGAGCTCTCACCTGATGTCAGGATGCTGAAATCTCACTGCAGTCCAGTTCCCAAGGGAGCCAGGGGCTGCCTGGCCAGCGAACTGCTTGTCTTTGGTTTGTCTGCAGCACCCAGGTTGGATCCCAGGCGTGTGCGCCAGGCTGTACGTCACCCCCAGAAGTCTTTGAAAACACATTCTTCTCCTCTTAAGTCACATGTTTTCTTTTTAAAAGTTCTTTGTGTTTTTGCTTCCAAAACCAAAGGAAAACCAGCTGTGCAGAGGAGCATTTGTATTGCAGTGACTGGCAATAAGGGTGGAGGCCTGCACAGGCCCCCACGACTCAGCACAGAGGCTGGGAGGGGTCTGAAGGCCCTGGGAGCAGAGCCACGGTCCCGTTTTCTTGCTTGGGTGAAGCCTGGCCAGCAGCGGGCCGTCCCCCTCCATAGGGTGAGGGGGTCATTGCTGGAGACAGGGGCTGCTCCCCTAAGGTGAGCTCCTGCTCGGGGGCCTGCAGTGCTGGTGGCTGCAGTGGCAATGCCACCGGGAAGCTGGCCATGTAGAAGACTCGGCCCAGGCGCTTGGCCACCTATGGAGAGAGGCCTGGGTTGGGGGTCTGCAGCCAGGAAGGGCCTCGGTGCTGTCCCTCCAGGATGTGGGACCACCGCCCCACTGGCACGCACCTGCGCCCGGATCTTGAGAGCAGGCCCCAGCTTCAGGCCCATCGTGGTCAGGAGGTGCTCCTCTGTCAGCAGGGGCAGGGTCTCCCCATCTATCCCCTGTTCTCTGAAGACCTGGTGGAGTGAGAGCCTGTCAGAGCCCGATTGGGAACTGCCTGCTTGCCCTGCAAACTCCCTCAGCCAGGCCAAGGCTGTCAGGTCAGGGTGGGGTGGTGGAGGGCTTGAGGCTTTGGAAAATGGAGCCAAGAGGAGCTGTTTGTGAAGTTTTAGGGGAAATATTCATGTGAAAGAAAACTTGGGCATATGCCTATGTGGAAGGCACAGCACTGCGGGGGGGGGGGGGGGGGGGGAGATGGGAGCATGCACGGTGCCCCCTATACCCTCTGAGGAGGGGAATAGGGGTGAGGAGAGGCCCGGGGGACAGGAGCTCAGAACCATCTTGGGCAGGTGCCCCCTCACCCGTGTGTATTCTCCACAGCCAGACAGGCCCCCCACAAAGCTGCAGACATCATCCACTGTCCACTTGCTGATGTCCTCAGGGGCTGTGGCCTCCTCCCCATCACTGAAGAGTCCCCCCGTGGCTCCTGGTTGGGAGGGGGTGTTACTAGGACTGTGGCTGCCTCTTCCAGATTCCCATCCATCTGCTGACCTCTGCCCTTGTCCAGATCATGACTAAAAGCCTTTCCCCCCCTTGGACTTCACTAAGGGGAAGTGGGGGGGGGGGATAGTCTCCTCCGACCCCCCCAAACCTCCCACCTCCATTGAGGGTTCTAGATCATTGGGGTGCCCACCTGTGTGTAAGTAGGGGCTGACGCAGGGCACGTTCAAGGGCAGAGATGGGGGCAGCACGGACCCTGAGAGAAGTCCCTTCCCCTCAGAGCTGGTCCCTCCAGTTGGGTTGGGGCCCCGGCCCCCAACAGTCACCATGTCGGAGTCCTCTCCATCTGAGTCCTTGGGGGGCTCATCCTCAGAGCCGTCCAGTACCCAAAGCCCAGCCCTGGTGGTCTCCTTGGGCCGGGCTGAGGCCGGGCTAACGCTCCCTTTCCGAGGCGTGCGGCGGGTGGGCTCCCGAGGCGGGGTGGGGGAACCGGAGGGTCCCTGCGGGGGCAGCGCCAGCCTGGGTGTGGAGCTGGGTCTCAGCACCAGCAGGGCCTCTGCGCCTTCCGGCGGGCGCAGCGCAGACTCTGGCGCCAGCAGCTGAGGACGGTGTGCGCCCTCCAGCTCTGCCGACATCTCCAACCTGGGCCGGAGGGAGGGAGGGAGGGGGGAGCCAGGGCAGGGTCAGGACCCAGCGGGACGGGCCACCTCCGGCCCAACCAGCCCCGCCACCTACCGCGCCAGGTTCTGCTTCCGCAGGAGCTCCTGCTGCCGGGCGAGCAGCTCCGCCTGGGCGGGGGGCAGGAAGCCAAAGCCTGGGGAGGGGACAGTCCGCGGAGCGGGTGGCCGGCTGGTCCATGCCCCCCCCGCGCCTACCCCCCCCCCCCGCTGTCCCTGGAACACTCGCGGGCCCCCCAGGACACAGCCTCCAACACCCGCCGCCTCCTCACCTGGGGTCTGGCACAGAGCCGAGGGCACCCCCAAAAGGGGAGGCCTGAAGTGGGGGCCCAGAGCGATGTGCGGAGCATTCTGGGGCGACAGCAGGGGGGCCGGCTGGGGCAGCTCCCTGTGGACGGCAGGGCGGTGAGCGCCGCGCGCCCCTTCCATTCCCGGAACGCCCGCCCCGCCCCCCGCCCCCGCCGCCGGCCGCGCCGCTAATTGCGGCCCCGCCGGCGGCTGGAGCGCCGCTCCCTCTCGGCCTCGGGTCGCGCCGCCCCCGCCCTGCCCCCGCCGGCGGCGCCAATTAATCTCGGCGGCGGCGCGGAGGCTGACCCGGCGGCGGCGGCGGCGACCGCGGCGGCAATTACCCGGCGCGCCGGCCCTCGCCTCCCAGCCCTCGGACCCGCGCGGCCGGGGGCGGAGCACAATTAGCCGCGACTCGGGAGGGGGGGTGCGGGGCAGCGGGAGCGGGCCAGGGGCTGAGATCGCTGCGGCTCCTCCCGCCCCACCCCTCGCTCGCTCTTCAGGTCCGCCGTCCCCCTCCCCCCTTCCTGGGGCCTCCGGGCCGCCACGAGCGTCTGTGTCGCCAAAGGCTCGAGTCTGAATCGATGCTGCTGGAGGCAGGGGCCTCCGACGTCCGAGTTCTGCCTTCTGCCCCCTCTCCACAAGGCCCCCAATCTGCACCTGGCGCCCTCACCTATCTGTTGGGGGATCCAGGCCCTCAGTTGTCCCCGGGGCACCTGGATTCAGCAAGTTCCATAGTTGATCAATGGAAGGAGAGTCGTCCTTAGCACTCCAACCAGAGCGGGGGCCACCCCCACGCATTCTACCCCAAGAACATTTTTCTGCGGGCCTCTGCCCAGCTCAGGTCCCTTCTGCACGATAAGCTATGAACCAGGGCCAGCCCAGTGGCTGGGATGAGTCAAGGTGGCTGACAAGTATGAAGGTGCAGGCTGCCGCCCAGGTGATGTCTACCCACCCCAGCAACAAGCACCGTGACTATGGGGGCCTCTGAGAGGCAGACACACCAGTACCTCTCCGAAAAGGATGGGGCGCCAGCTGGAGCACTGCCCTCTCGGTGTTGAGCCAGGCCCTGCTTCCGACGTTGACCTGTGGGCGTGGGCAGGTGGACTTCCAGGCCACTGGGGCTCCTCACAGCTGCTGCTGCCACTTCCTGCCGGACCCTCAGGAGGTCTGGGGAAGGGGCGACACCAGCAGTGACCCAGAGCCCCCTGGGCTCTCACCCCCCTACCCTGGGCAAGCGCAGGGCACTGGCCAAGGACACCAAGACCAGAACCAGTGAGGGCACGTCCTCACACTGACCCAAAAAGACCACAGGGCAAGGGAGACAGATCATAACGGTGCAACAGGATGCTGGGGTGGGAGTGGGAGGCACCCATCTGTCTCGGGAGGGGGCCAGGAAAGCATTTGGAAGTGATATGGGGATGTTAGTAACCAAACTGCAGCGGGAGGGGTGAAGGGGGGGGCAGCAGACAGGGGAGGCTGGGGGTGCATGAGTGTTGCTGATATTGAGTTCAGAGAGCATGGAGACCAAGGCTGCAGGAGCCTCGAGAAGGGGGAGGGGGGGGGATGCCCAAGGTAGAGGGCAGTGTGGTCTCCAGCCCCAGACTGAGGCTGCGCAGGCGGCCCCTCCTAGGTGCACACTGTGCACTCCACCCAGGCCTGATGCTCTCTGCGGCCCATCCGCATCCCCCCAGCTGCTCGGGCCGGGCCTCCGAGTCCCCCCGCAGCCCCCCCGTGTGTGCAGGCTCCCGCCGCCGCCGCCGCCTGTTTATAAATTAATTACCCGAAAAGCGGAGGTGGGCCCTGCCCGGGCCGGGTGCCAGCCCGCAGAGCCCAGCCGGCGCGGCCGCCTGCATCGATCCCAGCGGGGCCCCCGCGCCCCGCGCCGGCGGCCGGGTTATTTACTGTCGGCTCCGCAGCGGGGGCGGCGGCGCGGGCGTGATTGACAGCCCAGCTCGCGGCACTGCTCCCCGGCGGCCGGCGCCCCCTCCCCCGCGCAGGCCAGCCGAGCCGGCCCGAGGCAGGGCAGGGAAAGCAATTAAAAAGAAAGATTTTTAAATTATTAACATTTGGTGAATAATTCAGGCTCTCGGTGCCTCACTGCCCTGGGGGACAGTGCCTGTGTGAGGAGAGGAAGTCCTGCCCCCTCTCCTAGCGCCCCCACCCATCTCCCGGCCACAACAGCCAAGCTCCGCAGACGGGGGGCTGGGGTCAGGATGCAGCTGGGCAGGGTGCTGAGGTGTGACCTCGCGATGGTGGGTGGGACTCCCAAGCTGAGAGCTGAGACGGACAGATGGTCAGGGCTGTGGACAGGGTGGGGCATGGGGAGGGACAGGCGCCTCCAGCCAGGCTTCTGAGTACCAGTGCGGTCCTCCTGGATCCACCAGGGAAGTTCCTAAGGCTGCTGCTCCCCCTCGTCCCCCTCCCTCGTCCCCCTCCCATCTCTCCCTTCCCCCTTTCCCCCAGGCAGGCCCAGGGCTCCCTGGAGGAGGCCCTGACACCGGGGCACCCTCCAGCTGGAGTGGAGGCCTGCAGTGTAGACAGGGACAGGACTGCCTGCATGGATGGCAGGGGCATCAGCTCCCACTCCCACTCAGGCTCACAGTGAAACGACAGTGTCTGCATGTGGCGAGGGTGTGTGTGGCCCTGCAGGTGAGAGAGTGGGGCCAAAGGGGACATACTGGTGGGGGGGAGGGGTGAGGCCGCAGGGGACCTGTCAGTGGGTCCTTCTTCAGGCAGAGGGAGGAGAGTCATGTCTCTGCCCACCTCCAGGGAGCTGGCTTATGAGGCCCTGCGCCCAGTGCAGCCTTGTTAGCAGCCAGACGCCAGGGTTTCTTTTCAGGGCGAGTATCAGCCTTCTCGGGCAGGGAGAGCCCGGCGCAGGTGGGGGGCACTTGGGAAGGGACACATACCATGGCTGGGGAGGCCCAAGTGGTAGAGACGCTGCGGGTCCTCAAAGGTGCTGGCCTCGCTCAGTGCGGACATGAGCCGGCGGTAGTGATCCTCGGGGGCCATGCTGGGCTCCAACTCTGACAGCAACAGCGTCTCTGTGTGGGGGGAGCAGAGGGGAGGGGTCTCCTTCAGGTGCCGCCCAAGTGGAGAGGTTGGGCTGACCCCACCCTGTACAGGGTCTCAGTTATACCCTCCCCTTCCTGTGACCTGCCCCCTCCACCGCCACCCCCCAGGAGCTCCCACCTTGGGGGGACTTGCTTCGAGCCTTCTTCTCCAAAGGGCAGTCAGTGCTGATGTGGGGGGAGCGGCCTAGCCTCTTGCCCAACAGGTCACCTGGGGGAGGGTAGAGTGAGCCCCACTATGTATCTCAGGGCTTGGAGGGATGGAGATTGAGAAGAGCAGGGAGGGAGAGGGACAACCCAGGCTCAGTAATTCCAGCCTCTGGCCCTGTCCAGCCCCAGGTCAACCCAGAACCACACCCATGGCTGCTCAGGATGTCTGTAGGTCCTCGCCACATCAAGGCCCTGCCTAGCCAAGCTCCAGGCCTCTAGCTAGAGGACAGTGCTGGCCCTGGGCTCTGGGTGTGTGTGTGAAGTGATGGCACATTTCTGGTAATAGCCTCAGGTGGCATCTCTGGACCCACAAGCATCCTGCTGCCCCCACCCAGCCAGATGGTTGTCCGGTGCAAGTGTAGGCCTGCTCACCACCCTGCCAGAGCGGGAGAAGAGGCTCCTATGCTACTCCCAGGACAGGGCTGAGGACTGCCCCACGCTCTTTCTGCTCATGGAGGCCTGGGGGATGGGGTGCAGGAGCTGCCAGGACACCTCGGTGAAGGGACACTGCCATCAGCTCCAGAGCCTAATTCCTTTTCCTTATTCCCTTCATCTGTCATTTTTATCAGCCCAGGAAGTGCGGCGCGATCAATCTCCACTTTACAGCTGACAGAATGGTGCTAATAACTTATTGATCTTGGCCACCTTGCTGCCACTGGCCTGTCCCGTGGCTCAGCCCAGGCCCTGCCCCATCCTTACCTCAGGGGCCTGGCAGGATGGAGGCACAGCCAGCATGAGACCCCCAGGGAAGCCCAGTGGACAGCCAGTGGCCCCAGCGTCTCAGGTAGGAGGGCCGCATATCCAACCATGGCTGGCCTGAGCTTGGGCCCAGGCTGGGTCCACACCCCAACCCGCACATAACCCAGGGTTCTCACCTCCCTGTGACCTGCTTCCCATTGTCCACAGTGGAATCCCTCACCCCTTTCTTTATGGGGGGGGAGAGGTCCCCCGCGTGGTGGCTACATAAGGTCCTGCCAGAGGGCCAGGTGACTTGTCTGCAGTGAGGGCCACATTTATGCAGGGACACAACCTATATCCAGAAGCAGGCGCCAACCACAAGGTGCTGCCCCCACCCACCTGTTCCCCCCCCCACCAGTCCTCCCAACCTTCCCACTCAGGGGCCAGGGAGGGGCTGGGGCTGTGGGGACAGGATTAGCAGTGGCATCTGGGTAGAGCAGATAAAGACAGGCAGGTGACCCCATGCCAGGGCCACAGGACAGAGGGAGGCAAAGGGTACTACAGCTCCGAGGAGGGGCGAGACCTTGGTGAAACCTGGATCCAGTGCACAGGTGGCACTTCCTGCAGGGCAGTGGTGACCTCGGCACAAAGTGAGAGTGAGGACACCCTGACCCAGCCATGCAGGGCCCCCGGCACAGCCTGGCTGGGGCTGGGCACACGTGTGGTGCAGGCGCCCTGCTGTCCAGGGTGGGCCCCCTGGCTCAGAATATCTCAATCATCACGGGGCTCCGGAGGCTCTACCGATCGATGGGGCAATTAGATTTTATCAGCCGCCTGCTCAGCAGCCTCCAGCGTGGCTCTAGAAGCAGCCCCCACCCCAGGCCCTTCCCAGGCACAGGCATGTGGGAGGGGCACTAATGGGACGCTCCGGGGTCCCAGGATGCTGGCACCCCTGCCCAGCCTACCTGAGAACTGCAGCCACTGCTGGAAACTTCCCTGCCCAGGGCTCCTAGGACAGCCAGGGACCCCGACAGCTCCTTTCCCAACCCACAGCCCCTCTCTCTTGAGCTGCTGCCCCTCACAGAGCCACCCCTCTTAGGTGAACCCAGAGCTCCTGGGCCAGCACCTCCCTACCCAGTCTTCCTGCTCTCAGTGAGGGACCCTTCCCTCTTGGGACCCCGTGAGCTGTGGGGCCGGAGGGTGCTCAGTGCATGCCATTTGCAGATGTACCGCCTTTCTGAGGCTCTGTGAGACCGGCAGATCCCTGACCGTCCTTGCCTCTGCTCACAGCGGCAGACAGAGGCCTGGCCACTCCAAGCCCACCGCAGCAGCAGCCACCATGGAGCCACTGCCTCCGCCCCCGTCTGCCCTGCTGGCCGGGATTAACACAATTACCATCACATGCAGCCCCAGGGGACAGCCGGCCTCGCCACCTCCCTCCTCCTCCACTGGCCTCCCTGGCTGCCTGCCAAGGCTGGGGGGTGGGAGGGGGGCGGCATCCAGGCCACTGAACAGATACTGGAAGGGGGGCGGCAAGGGCTGTCCTCAGGCGAAGCTGCTGTGGCCCTGGCAGCCCCCTCCTGGCCCCTGGTACTCCCGGGTCCTCACCTGGACCTCCCAGGCCTATCTCCACACCGCTTCTCTGGAATTCACAGCGGCTCTGATGCTCAGGCATAACGAGGTGGCTGCTGCGATGCAGGCTGGACAGGAGTGTGGGAAGGTCGCTCTCCTGGCTGCAGCAAGGCAAGATGGGGAAGGTGGGACCCATGAGGCAGGGTGCCAGGCAAAGCTTGAGTGTGGTCATGTACAGCATCAGAGGACAGCATCTGAGTGCGACCATGCCTTCTGCACACCTCTGGGGTGGCCTGTGACGCCACATGTGTGAGCATCCCTGTAGCAGGACCAACATCGAACAGCTAGCAGGTCCAGAATCGAACCCAGGACCAACATCGAACTGCTAGCACCTGCCAAGTGTCTGTTATGCAGTGGAACTTGCACACAGACCCCACGGCAGCTCCGGGGAGGGTCTTGCAGAGCTGGGCTGGTGCAGCCTTGCCATGCTCTCTCTAGTGACCAGGACTGTGCCCATGCTCCCTACTGGGAAGGCAGCCAGGCACCCATCAGGCAGTGCACCTGCCCCCGGGGAGCCCGGGTACACACTGTCACGTGTGTGCAGCACTTACTGAAGCCCTGGCTGCTTCAGAGAGAACGCTGCCCACACTATTTTAACTAAAACTTGCAGCCAGCCAGGGACCCCGATTTCTTCAAATAAGGAAACCAAGGGTCAGATCAAAGGCCAGCACATGAATGGAGACGCACATTCATGACACACAGGCACATGCACTCATGGGGGCCACAGCCCTGTGGACCTCCGGACATGGACACAGGCATGGTGGGAGCCTGCTCACCTCAAGGATACCAGCAGAACCTCGGCCAGGCCTTGGGGGGCGGGGGGAGGGGAGGGCTTAGGGTAAGCATGTAGGCAACTCTTTAGTTCTCTTGCTTCTGTTCCTGTTAAATCAGCTCAACCCTATATTACAGAACCCCTGAGAGAAGAGGGAGTGAGGAAACCCCAGTGCAACTTGTAGAGATGGCGGCCCACTCCATAAGTGAAAAAGAGTCACCTGCCACCTTGCAGATAGAGTTGGGGCAAGACAGAGGAGAAGCCAAAACCGGTTTGGCGCAGTGGATAGAGCGTCGGCCTGCGGACTGAAAGGTCCTGGGTTCGATTCCGGACAAGGGCACGAACCTTGTTTGCGGGCACATCCCCATTGGGGGGTGTGCAAGAGGCATCTGGTCGATGTTTCTCTCCCATCGATGTTTCTAACTCTCTATCCCTCTCAATTCCTCTCTGTGTAAAATCAATAAAGAAAATAATAATAATAATAATAATAAAAAGACAGAAGAGAAGCAGGAGGGACCGCCCCCTCCCCCCAGCACCCTTGCTCCCTGGCCCACCTGTAACCAAGCGGTCTCCTGGCTGGGCCACTGCAGGGGGACCTCCATGGAGTGACCTGGAACCGACCCTGAACCTCATTAAGTAGCCCTGCAACTTGGCCTGGGCGACTGAGCAGTTAATCCAGGGCTGTCCCCTAAGCAGATCAGTTTCAGCACCAAAGGCGCCAGGGCTGGGCTCCCTCCCACCTCACCCTCAGGAGAGAAGGTGCCCCCCACCGTAGGGGGTGGGGTGGGAGCAGGTACTGCAGAGGACTAATTAGAAGCTAATCCACCCCCTCACTCATCCTCATCAACTTGAGGGGGCCAGGAGATGAGCTGCTGGCTCAGCACCAGGGTGGGGTGGGGCTTAGAGGCGGGGCCGACGTTGCCCTCAGGTTCCCAGGGCTCCTGCAGAAGGAGACTGATAGGTGAGAACTGGCCTCCACTCCAGCCACCAGTTCTTTCATGCACAGGTCATGTGGGCACTCGGAGGTGCAGCCCTTTGGGGGTGATGCCCGTTGGAAACCAGGACACCCCACTCTTTGCCTTGAGGGTTCACTCCAAGATGGGCAGTCCCTGCCCTGGGAAGTCTGTTCTGGTCACTCACTGAACAAATCACATGACAAAGAAACTTTTCACACACTTACTGATAATAGGTGAATCCTCACCGGGCATCCAGCGGTGAGTACTCAAAGCCATGAAAACACCCTCTCTCTCACCTGTTATTTGTTACTTGCAAGTTGTAGGGGGGCTCTGAGGTTCCCTGGGGGACTGAGTGGAGGAGGGTGTGCTGGGAGGAGGAAAAGGAGCCTTACAGGCTTCCTCAGCGACTATCACTTTGCTCAGTCCTTTCCCACCTCCTGGCCAGCTCAGGGCTTCCGACAGGGCAGGGACCACATCTGCTGCTGCCCAATGCTGAGACCCATTCACTCCAGGGTCAGATGGATAGAAGGATAGGATAGAGAGGCAGATGAAGATGGATGATGGAGTCAGATGAACAGACAGAGAAGGATAGACAGCGAAGATGTCAGACAAACAGGCATGATTGGACAGATGGACAGAGTCTGACAGAGAGACAAGAGACTAGAGATAAAAGAACAGAGGGACAGGGCCAAAAAGGGCCACGGCAACAAAGACAGAGAGGGTGGGAAGTATGAGGCAGCTGGGCCGGGTGCTGCAATGAGGGGAGCCACTCCTCCCCACCCCACCATATCTCCTCTCCTAAAAGCCAGGAAATGATCCTAGCTGCTTCTACTGCCTGAGCAGGGGGGAACCTCTCCCACTTTCCAAGGCCGGGTGGGTGGGGGCGCTGTTGGGGGCTTGCAGGGAGCGCTGACCTGGAGAGGAGCACAGCTCCTGGGTTCCTACCGGCTTTGCGAATAAATTTATCCTGTAGCTTCCCAAGTACAAGCCTCATAAGATGTCATCTCTGTTCACGATGGTTTATAAAAAGGATCAGTTCAGCTGGCAATTTCAAAACGAGGTAGAAATAAGTTTGAAGATGTTTTCATTGTAATTTGGCTCCAGATCTAGACCTCAGAGCCAGGCTGGGAGTGGGCAGGACCAACTCCACCTGTGCTCTTCCGAGGACGCTCAGCCAGTCCTGATGCTCACTGCCCGCTGCCCTTCCTGTGCCTCCCCCAGAGGAGGATAAGACTTGACTCCACTGTCCAGAAAGTACATCACCCCTTGTCCCCCGGGAACCATAAACTTGCGTCTCCCAATGCCCCCCAACCTCCTCTCAGGTCCCCTCACTGTTATCTCCCTCCATCCTGCCTCCACAGCCTGAATCACTGTGGACTCAGCAAACCGCCCACCTGCTGGGCAGAACCTCAAGAGGACCTCTGGAAACATACGCCTGGTCACTCTTCCAGCTCAAGAACTTTCAGTGGCTCCCCAGTGCTTGGAGGACAATGCCCAAGAGGCCTAGAATCCAAGGCTTCTTAACATCTGATCGAGCTAGACTTGCTGACTGGGAACCTCCTCCCCTCCCATATCCTTCCCCTCATTTCTCCATGTCTTTGCAGACATCCCCTTTCCCCAGGAAACTCCTATGCTTCCTTCAAGATCCCATTCACACATCACCATTCTCACCTCCTGGTGGGTCTTTGGGAGAATGGGAGGGGGCAGCTATGACCTCATCTTTAGGCAAATGGGCTCAAATGGCCAGTCCCATTGGAGGGGGGGCACTCTGGATCCAGGGTTGTGCTGCCAAGGCCCAGGCACAAGTCAAAAGACAGACCGCAGATGAAGGAGGAGGCTGGAGAGATTTAGAAGCACACACTGTCTGGGAGGAAGCCTGATCCAGGCCCCAACCTCACCTGCAGGACGTCTCTCGGAAGGAGATGTTCACATCCCAATGGGTGTGGACCCTGGACGGAAAGAAGGAAAGTCAGCATGGCCTCCAGGATGGGCTGCTGGACAGCCGACGGGTGTGTGGCATGTCTCTCATCCACGCCCAGCACCCCGCCTCCAGCGCTATCCGGACCGGTTCAACCATCGAGGGCTGCCATCAGGAAGTGGGAAGCACAGAGCTGAGGCACCATGTCTCTGCCGTGGGCCCCAAGGAGCCCCATGTTGTGCTGGGGTGTGGGCTGCAGCTTCCTCTGTATGTCACTCATATGACCAAACCCAAACTCCTGGTGACTAGAGCTACCCCAGCTGGACTAGCACCATGCCAGGAATGAGCCCGAGACTGCCACTAGTGCCAATGGCTGAGTGTCTGCCCAGGTATAAGCCCCGGGGTACCAGCTATTGCCAATCGCCTTCCCAAAAGTGACCACTGCACCACGGAGGCAGGAGGGATGCCAGGACCAGAGATCAGGCAGGAAACAGCTCTGCTCCAAGCGAAGCTCTGCCCCATGCCCAGCTCTGCCCTGTGGCCAGGCCCTCCACCACAGCAGTGCCCTGGAAAGACCATGGCTGAGGAGGCAGGGGGAAGCCTGTGTGGTGCTTCACCTTACCAGGTGTGGGTGTGGGCTTGGCAATGGGGTCCTGAGGTACGAGAGGGTTAGTAGCACAGGAGACATTGGAAAGTGCTGAAAGACTTTGGGAAGAGGCCTAGGAATTCTGGGATGGATGGCCAGAGAGAGGTTCCTCTGCCGTGAGTGGACATGTGGGAGGTCCGGAAGGGTGGGCCCAGCCTGGGATGGGACAGTGAGGACCCATCAGAGCTACTACCCACCAAGGCACATGAGCACAAGTGTACAGGGGCTTCCCCGAGGGAGGGTCCACCCACTCCCCACCCCTCACCTGGCTGTGGCGGGACCCTGGTGAGGGGTGGGGAGTGGGTGGACCCTCCTTCCCAAACCTTGCCTGGGGCTCCCTGTCCCCCAGAGCCCTTGGGCAGTCCTCCTTCCTCAGCCCATAGCTGTGCTCACCCCCAACAATGCTGATCCAGTCCCTGTAGTCCCATGAGAAGGAGGGACTGGCATGTTTCAGCTGAGGCACAACAAGCTAAACTCGGGCCCAGTCCCAAGGGCAAAGGACTCCCCTCCAGGCTGGCCCTGCCTCCAGCTGCCTGCAGACCTGTCCTGACGTCCCCTCTGGCATCTGAGCCCACATGCCCTCCACGTCCTCGCCCTGGGAAAGCACCTTCTCTTCATGATCCGGACATGGGTGTCGTCCTCCTGCTTTACGCCAGGCCGCTGCCCGCAGGCCGGCCCACTCCCATCGCTGTCGCCATCGCTGGCTAAGAAGCTGGGGGTCAGTTCTTTCTTCAGGACCCGAGCTGAGGGCAGAGCAACTGTCCTCTTGTCTGCCAGCCGCCCCCGGTTCTGCGCAGAGAGGGGATAGAGGAAGGTAAGCCCCTTGGCTCCCTGGTGGCTTGCACCTGGCCCGACCCCTAGGTAGGCCCAGGTGACAGAGCCTCACTGAGATCACAGAGGCACAGTCAGCAGCCCATGCTCCCCACTGCCCTAGTCAAGAGTAGGCCACCAGCCTCCAGGACGGGCCCTAGGGTTGGCAAAAGCCAGGAATGACCAGAGGCCAAGAGCAGGGAGACAAGGCCTCGGGCAGAGCCCTTCCATGGGCACCCTTCCACCCTGGTCAGGGTTGAGGCTCAGGGGTGGCCCTGGCCAGGCTGCTCTGGGCACTGCCTTGTCCTGACTGCACACGCCAGCCCAACCGTCCCGGCCATCAGCCTGAGTGTGAGATGCCACCTGAAGGTAGACCTGGCTTCCCCAGTTCCTCAGAGCCCAGAGGGGTCTTCTGTCTGCACCACAACCTCTCTGTGTGTCCTGTCACTTTTTGACCTGCAGTATCCTCCATGTGTGCATGCGTGTCTGCCTGGCAACCCTACTCAGACTCTGTGAACCCCCAATGGAGACCAAGCCATGCAGAGCCCAGGCCCCACTGGGTCTGAAGTCCTTGATAAATCCAAGGCCTGGGCTCACTGATCCCTTGGCCAGCCCAGCACTGTGAGCCCAAGAGCCCTAGGAGATCCAGTTTTCCACCAGGCCCGAGCCCCACCCCTCCGCCCACTGTGACCAGGTAGGGCTCTTGGCACAGAGCTGAGGTGCCTGAGCCAGAACACAAATGCACAGGGAACTCCACAAAAACTAGTTCATGCTTTGAGTTGGTACACACATGCTGGAGAGCTTCCTACACACACGGCCCTGTCCATTGTCTCAGGCCCCACCGCCCAGGGGAAGAAGAAAAGACAGTGGTGAGCAGGGAGCTTCTTCTTATTTAGTAACAAGTTACTGGCTCAGGGAGGTGGCAGGGGTCCTGGGATTATCTAATTCTCATATTTTCATTCCCAGGGGCCTCCTTTGACCTCCTTCCTTCTGTTGCCAGGATAAGGCATTCCCACCATACCCCTGAGCTCTAGGAGCAAAATGTCAGGGGGACCTGGCCCCTCCCTGCATCAGTGCCACCCTGGACCTGAAGGACGGCTCTGCAGCCATTGGTCCTGTCCTCAGAGTACTGGTTCTCTTTAGACCCAGTCCACCATCACGTCCAGACACCCAGCACCCCCACCCTCAGGCGCCCGGGTCTCCTTCACACCTGCCCTCAGGAGTCTACCAGGACACCCTCCAGTCTCCTCTGCAGCTCTCAGGGAGACAGACTGGGCAGCCGGGAGCCGGCACAGGTTGTGGGAGGGGTGTCAGTCTGTGAGTAGCCTATAAGACAGGGCCTGATTCGTAGCCCCTCTCTGACCCTAACCCCGGCCCAGCTCGTTACCAGCATCAGCAGGTGAGGCTGCACAGGTGACCGTCTGGTCCCCATACCTCTACGTGCCAACCAGTGGGCTTGGGAGTTTGAACAGCTCCCCCCTGTCTGGAGTGCAACTCTGCTGGGAGGTCCCGCTCAGCTCTGCCCTTCTCTAGCCTGCTGTAGGCCAAGCATCAGGACCTTCTTTCCTACTGAATCAAACCCACTTAAGAAGGAAAGGAAAGGTGTGCTCTTTGCTTCTCATCCGTAGGATAGGGAAGAGGAGAGGGAAATGGCGGGTTAAGATTACTGCTTGCGATGAGGCCAGACCAGCTATGCTGGCTTGGGGAGGCTCCTGTGGGTACTCCCGTGGGACAGGGGCTCAGAGACAGAAACAAGATGGGCAGCCCTGACCCCGACCAAGGACAGGGGTCATGCATGCCTTCCACGTACACTGGAAACCTCAGCCACTCATCACAGATTAGCACAGATTTGAAAACTGGGTGCTGAACCTCCAACCCTAGCCAAATATTGGCTCCTCAGGCAGCAAGGATGGCCGCTGTGTGGCTGCATGATACCTGTGCCACAGACCCAAATTCTGCCCCTTGAGTATCTGTGACTGTGTGGTGTACATACACCTGTGGAGCTGGCTGTGTGAGAAGCCCGTCTGTGTGGAAAAGTGGGGGCTGGAAAGACAGGAGTTCCATGGGGCTCTTTAAGGGCAGGGTAGAATGACAGGCTTGGGAGGGACCACGCTCAGGAGGAGCAAGCCCAGGTCTGAGCGATCACTCATGCAAAGCAGGAACCTGGGAGCCCCGGACAGGCAGGCAGTCCTAAACTGTGTCCCCATCCCTGTCTGAACTGCCATCCGCGCCACAGCCATAAGGAACTGGTCCTGGGCTCAGGCACCTGCTCCCCTGCTCCTGTGGGAAGGCAGAGCTCCTCCCACCTGAACAGAAACTCCAGGCCAGGACCCCTCCTCTGCTCCAGCTGCTTGAGAGGGTGCAGAAGTGGAGCATAAGGTTGGTCTCTGGCCCCAGGAAGGTACAGAGGCCGTGGCAGGAGGTGGGCTACCTGTGCACACACTGTCGTGTGCAGGCATGGCTGTGGGTGATGAGCTCACATCAGACAATGTGTGCAGTGGGCACGCAGTGAGTCCCCCTCCCCAGCATGTGCGTCTGACCTGGTGTCTGTCTTCACAGGTGTCTGTGGCTTCCTGGTTCCTCCAGATTCCTTGCCGCCAGGGCCCAAGAGAAACCCAGAACGGGATCTCCTTCCCCCAACCGAGGGCTGTCCCTAAGATAAAGGCCAGGGACCCTGGGTCCTCCCAGGCCTCTGCCTCTCTCACCCCTTCCTGCGAGAGGGACTGCTGGGTGATGCCAGTAAGAGCAGCACAACCACCCACTACGCAGCCAGGGCTCTCATCAGCTCTCCCCAGGGCCTCAAAATTGGTCGTTATTGAGATGAAATTTCTTTCCAGATCAACTCTCCACCCGCTGCTCCTGGAGGACATGTGCTGGGGCAGGCACAGCACCTTTTGCTTGGCTCCCCTTGGCCATGTCTACACTGGGCTGGGGGCCCCATACTAGCCTCACTTCTGGTTACCAAAGGCCCACACAGCACAGAGCTGCCCCAGACAGTCTTGCACACCCAAGTCTTGCCCTGCAGGGTTCCAGCTGTGGGTACCCAAAAAGGCACATCCTTCACATCCAAGCCTGTAACCACCCCCAGACACACATCGGCCCGACAACACTGTCCCACCCCAGAACGAGCATTACTTGGGACCAGTTCCTCTCCCAAGCTGGCCAGGCGACATGGTGACCCCCAGACTGCTGAGGGCAGGTCTCCAAGCCAGCTGGACGAGACTCCAGGGAGGGAACTTCACATCCTGGGGTATTCCCAGGACTTAGGAAAAGCAGCTCTGAGACTCCCAAAGAAAAGCTTCAGGACAGGCAGGATCCAAAGGGGTGCGGCCTCCAGGTGCCCAGGATTCCCACCCCAAGCAATGTCGCCCCTATTTGCCCAGGGAGCTCCCTCCTGCACACTGGCAGAGTTGAGGTGAGGATTCTGGGTCCTACAAAATAAGCACATGCTCCCCTGGAAAGAAAGAAGGCCCCGAAGCCCAACTGTTTCCCACATCTCACCACCGGGGAGGATATTCGACAGCCCGGACAGTCGCAGATTGGAGGGTGCACCTGCAGAATCCCCTTGGACATAAGCGTCTTCAGACTTTTCCCTGCGAGGAGAGGCGAGGCAGGTCCGGTGAGGGAGTGGGTGGCACTTCCGGGGTGCAGGCAGCAGCAGGGCTGGGGGCTCCCTCCCGGCACGAATATGCACACCCACCTCAGGCCAACTTCCAAACCCACCACCAGCCCTGCCGCCCAACCATCTTCGTGGGTCCCGCGGGAACTTCCAGAGCTCGGAAACTGAAGACCTGGACGGGCGCCCTCCCGCCCGAGGCGGGCCACTGTGGACTCGCGAACCTCAAAGTCGAACGCTACTGGGTCCCCAACTTTTTTACCCCCACCCCCACCCCCGCTCACCGCACTTCTCCTGGCTGCCCGCTCAGGCCCCGAGAGCCAGGCTCCTGCAGGAGCTCAACTGGCTGCTCCCAGCTTCGTTGCCGGTCCAGCTCCGCGCGCGCCCCCGACCCGATGCGCGGCCCCGCGGCCCCCACCTGCCTGTGCCAACCCTACGCCTCGCCCTTCTCTCCAGCAGCTCGCACCCGCACCTCGGCCACACGTGTGCCCTCCACTCCCGCCAGAACCCGTGGCTCCGGGTTCCGGGGTCGGGGTGAGGGGAGTATCCTGCTCAGCCCGCCCTCTCTCCCGAGTTTCCGTAACTTCCCCTGCGTCCCGAGGCCCAGCAATCCTGCAAAGACCTTCGGAGCGTAAGGAGCAGCCGGCTAGTGCGCAGCTGGCGCGGGGCGAACGGCAGAGGCTGAGGACGCTCGGCCGGGTCCACAGAGGAGACTGTGCAGGGGGGGGGGGGGGGGGGGCGCGGAGAGGGTCCCTGCGGCCGCCCCGGAGGCACAGCGCCCTCTCTGGGCAGTGACGGAGTTTTCCCAGATGGTGGACGAGTGGGGTCCGGACCACGGGTCCTCGGGGAGCGGAGGGCAGGGGCAGGGGCGGCCCGCGGCCCCACTGCGGGCGCACCTTTGTGGCGGATGCTGCGCTTCCAGTCCTTGGCCGTCTCTCGGCCGCTGACGAACTGGAATTCGTTGGGGGTGAGCCACTCGCCGCGGTGGCGGATGGACGGCCCCTTGCTGCCCTGGCAGAGTTTGCGCACGTAGAGCAGAGCGCGGTTGGCGCCGCACTCCACCTCGATGCACGGCTCGCCGTTATCCAGCAGCGGCTGGAAGTCCGGGGCCGCGGCCGCGGTGGCCGAGAAGCGCTCGAGGGCCAGAGGGTCCCGGGGCAGGTGGAGGTGCGGGGCGGCCTCGTTCAGGCTCAGGTAGGCGCGCGGGGCGCGGAGCGGCGGAGCCAACAGGCTCTCGTAGCCGGCGGCCGTGGCAGGCAGCGAGGCAGCCGGGGGCAGGGCGGCCACGGCGGGCAGCGGCGCGAGGTAGCCAGGGAGCGGCGGCAGCGGCAGGGCCGCCAGGGCCGGGTGGAAGGCGGCCAGAGCCAGGGCCAGGTCTTCGCGGCCTGCGAGCTCCTTTTTGACCGCCGGCATGGCGGGCCAGGGGTCCTGCAGCCTGGCTCCCGCCGCCGGCGAAACTTGCTCCCGGGCTGGCGCAGGGTCTCGTTGGCGGGAGGGGAGCCCGGGAGGCGCCTGGCCGTGCGCCTGCCCTGCCCGCTACTGCGCCCCGGCGCCGGCCGCCGCCGCCGCCGCGCCTCCTGCCGGGCCACCGCGGACAGCTGCCCAGCTGGCTGGCAGGGCCTCGGCTAACGGAGACATGGTGCTGCCGGAGCTGCTATCGATTCCGGATCGACGTGCCGAACGCCGCAGCTCCAGGGCCCTGGGGCTCCGCGGGGCGCCCGGCCACCTGCGCCCGCGCCCCCTGGGGCGGCCCCGCCCCACCGCCGCCCGCCGGTCCGCCTCCGGGCGGAGCGGGGCGGAGAGGAGTCCTGAAGTCCCCGGCCCCGCGCCCCACCCTCCCGGGGTCCCAGGCCCCCGCCCGCCCCGCCCGCCCCGCTCAGCCGCCCGGGCTGCGGACCCGCGGAGACTGCGCGCGCCCGCCCGGCGGCGACTTGGGAGACTCCCCCCGCCGCCGCCGCCGCCGCCGCCGCCACAACTTGGCCCATTTAAAAGGCCCCGGCGCGGCGGGCGGGCGGGCGCGGGCTCCAACAGGGGGTGCGTGAAGGCCGACCGGCCTCGGAAGGAGGCGGCGGGACCGGGCTGCACCCCTGAGTGGTTGAGGGTAGGAGGAAGGGAGACAGACCCAGCGTGGGGGCGAGCTAGCCAGGCCAGGCGCACGAAAAGCGCCTTTGTTGAGGGAGTTACTATTTGGGGCCCGGCCCGCTGCTGTAGTCTGTGACACCACGTGGGGTAGGGGTGGGCCCCAGATCCAGAGAGGGCTCTGTCAGAGGAGGGGATCCGGGATTGGGCTCTGCCGCCCCTACCCCCCACCCCCCACCTCCCTCCCTTCCTCATCAGGTGTGTATTGTGAGCTTACAGCTCTGGATGGGAGTGTTTGCCCAGTGCCTGTGGGTGGTGGGCATCAGTGTGTGTGTGTTGGGGGGGGGGGGGGGCTCCTTTGCACCTACAGGGTGTGGGGCCTAGGTTTGTGGTGTGAGGCCTTGGCGATTGAGGTGGGAAGGGTTTGTGTTCTGTGAATAACAATAACATTTCTATTGATTATTGATTGCTGCTTTATAAGCTTTAGTTAAGTTGATCATTTCAGTACTATTTCCTTATCTTTCTCATTTTATAGAGGAGGAAGGTGAGACACAGAAAAGTCAAGTAACACTCCTGATGTCATACAGCTGTTTCATATCCAGGTCATCTGACGTTAGCTCAAACAGTATCTGCGCCAAGGTGTGGGGCAAGAAGGTGGGCTGGACCTAGTCTGGGTGAGGGATGGGGGTGTGTGGGGAGGAGAAGGGGCTCTGCCCTTGAGCACGTCCAGTTTCCTGTGAGGAGCAGCTCTGGAGGAGAGGACCTGCTATATCTGTGTCCATCTCAGGGCTTTGGAGAGCAGGAATGAGAGTGGCTTGTCCCCTGATGACCAGTCCACACCACTGTGCAGGTCAGAATGTCATCCTTGCACTGGGAGAATTAGGAAGGGAAGCTGAGAAACTCAGAGGCTGCAGGAAAGCTGTGGTAATAACCGATGAGACAGGCTTTCCTTTCTCTGGTGTGTCATTGTGGACAGGCTGGAAGTAACCTCAGATCCCAACCCAGCAGTCAGACCCCAATCCCTGTCCCTCTGAGATGCAACCGGCAGAGCATCTTGGGCATATCCCTGAACAGACTCTGCAGGGTGAGCTGGGTCACAGCTTGCACAAGCACCTTCTGCCAGGGAGGGGTTGAGAGTGAGAGGACACACCACTGCCACTCGCCTCCTACCAGCTGGGCCTGACGTTGACCATTGGCAACCATTTTGCTTTCCCTCCCAGACCCACTGCCCACCTCATCCTCAGCTGAGGCACCAAGGACAGCATGCGATGGAGGTCTGGGCTCAGACCAGGAACTAACTGGTCAGGGCACCCAAACCTCTGCACCCCCTTCAGCTTCCTCCACTCCCGGTACATCTGTCTGCTGATGGGAATGGGGGTGTGAGTGAGTGAGTGACTCCTTGTTTCACCACCTGAGGCTCCTCCGCCCCATCTGCAACCTGAGTCCTTAGCCTGATGGTGGGAGCCCCCTTCATGGCCACCTTTGTAGCCTGTGTCTTGCTCTTAGATGTGCTGCCTCCATGTCTACAGCTACGGCCCATGGAGGAACCGTCATGTCAATGCAAGAATGCCAGGGCGTGGTGGACGGCCAGTGTGCCCACTGTCTGGTCACAACCATGAGTCTGTGGGTGGGACCTCCCTTTCCTTCTCTGGAACCGCTTCTCACACTTTCATCACAGCCCGCAGTGGCTAAGGAGGGCCCTGGGGGCCCCCACTCTGGCTTTCAGGGCAGGGGTTCAGCTGGCAAGGTGTGGGCTAACCTAGCTCTGCCAGCCCAACCTGCATGCCACCACCTGGCTCCCCTCCTCTCTCAAGCAGGGGTTGCCAACCGCTGGTCTGTGAGGTCTGAAAGGCTGGTGACAGCTGCTCAATCTGTTTAGGGTTCTTTCCTGAGTGCAAAGCTCCCTGCTGGTTCCCCATCGAGGGCCTTGGTTAGCAAGGAGGTTCACTCCCACCTGTTTCCTCCTCTTTCTGGGAAACAAACCCTCTGCTGTCCGGGGGTCAGAGCCATTTTCCCACGGGGACCAGGCATTCTCACCCCTGGTCATCATCCCGTTCCCGCGAGGATCTGTTCAGCGCCTGTCCACCTGGGCCACAGGAGCCTCTGCACTTCTCCGATTGGGGCCAGAGGCTGGAATCACCCCCCTCCGGGCCACACCGTGTGCGGGGCGCGGGGAGGGGGCAGGTGGGTCGGCGGCCACAGCTCCACCTCCAGCGGCTGAGGCCCCGCCCCGGCCTCCGCAGCGCGGGCGGTCGCTGGTCGCGGTCCCCCTGACGGGGCCCTCCGCTGCTGGGCCGAGGCCGGAGCCGCCGCCGCCGCCGCCGCCGCCGCCGCCGCCGCCGCCGCCGCCAGAGCGGGGAGGGGGTCATAAATAACCCGGCTGGCGGCGCAGACGGCGACCGGAGACTTCCCCGGGGAGCCCGGGGGCAGCTGCCGACCTCAGTCCCCCCAACCCCGGTTCAGTCAGGCTTGGCCGCCCCTCTGGCGCTGCCCGACCCTGTCCCCAACTGACGCTCCTGCCAGGACGCTCCCATCCTGGAGTGCCTGCCAATGCCCCTCTCCAGGCTGCACCCCTTCGTGCCCTCTTCCATCCGTGCTTCACCAGTAGATCGTTCACTGAGCTCCAGATGTGGTGTTATCCTAAGAAGAGAGACCCAGAGAGGAGGCTGTAGGAAAGCTGGCCTGTGCTCATCCAGGGAAATGGGGGTTGGAGGGCAGGCCTAGACCTGCCCCACTGGAGAAAGTATGCAAGAACAGTCGCACTGGCCCCACAGGTGTGAACGGAGAAGCTGAAACTAAGCTGTGAGGAGGCACACGCATTGCACACACACTTGTGCCCACACCACAACCCGTCAGGAACAGCACATGCCTTCTGAAAGCACCAACAGCCACCTGCATGTGTGCTCACACCCATGTGCATGTACAGGACGGGGGTGAAGATGCTGACGGCTTCAGCACACACACACCCAGGGTGGACACTAACTTAACACCCTACATGCTCCTGCAGGAATGGGCTGGGAGTGCAGGAGCTGGGGGCTCTCCCGGGGGGTGCCAAACAGAAGGAAGGAATAGAGCCCTCCAGGAAGCTAAGCGCAGAAGAGTCTCCCATGAAGGGCCTGAGGCTAGTTCCACCCTTCTTCTCCCTGCAGCCTGGACCTGGCCTGGGTTTGGAGGCAGGGAGGGAGGGAGGGTCCCTGGATGTGGCTGCGGCCCGGGTATGGATGGAGACACCCCTAGTGACACAAGCCATTGCAGCACCACGATGGCCCCTCTTCCAGATGCCAGGTCAGGGAGATGACCAGAGCTGGGCCCCCCACACCCCATGTCCCAAAATGTGCCAGCACGGCTGAGTGTAAGGGAGGAGAGATCCAGACCTGAGGACGGAGGGATGCTCAGGTGCTCATGTGTTCATGCCGAGGCGAGGTCAGCAGAGGCTCCGTCCTCTTTCATTTGTACTTCCCACCTCTTGGGACCTCAGCCCTGTTGTGCACATCAGCTCACATGCAACACAGATCCCACATGAAGACTTTGGGAACCCATGCGCCTCACTGTGGGGGCTATGCCCTGGAGGGTCAATCCCGACTGTGCTGGTTATGCATCTACTCTGCATGTTTACCTGTTGTGGGCTGGGCAGACCTGTGAGGCTCAGAACCCACCACAGTCCCAATAGAGACACGAGGCTATGCCATCCTCAGCCACTGGGCGTCAATCAGGCCCCGTGGGGACAGCGGGAGTGGGCTCAGGTGGGCTTTCTGCAGGTGGAAGTTGAAGAGGGGACGCCTAGGTAGGGACAGTGAGAGCAGAAGCCTAGAGGGAAGCTGGCTAGATCCAAGGGGCTGATGGGGGAGGTGTGCAGAAGTTTCTGGCCAGGCTGTGCAGGGAGTCCAGTCTGGTCCAGAAGTGACTGGTTATATGGTGGTCTTCCTGCTGTACAGGAGCGCCCTGAAAGCAGGGCTTGCTCTCAGTAGTTCACTGACTTACCCACATGCCAGCATTTGGCTACACACACACTGTTGGCGTAGCCCAGTGGTCGGCAAACTCATTAGATAACAGAGCCAAATATCAACAGTACAACGATTGAAATTTATTTTGAGAGCCAAATTTTTTATTCTTAAACTTCTAACGCCACTTCTTCAAAATAGACTCGCCCAGGCTGCAGTATTTTGTGGAAGAGCCACACTCAAAAGGCCAAAGAGCTGCATGTGGCTCTCGAGCCGCAGTTTGCCAACCATAGGCATAGCCCTCTCAGCCCAGCTGGGCCTCCCAGCTTCCATGGCCATAGGCATCCTCTTTCACAGAGAGGAGGCTCTCCCGTAGGCACCCTGGATTTTTAG